AAAACAAATATTCCATTTAAAAAATAATTCCAGCAATAAAAATAATAATACCATATAAATAGAAATAATAAAAATAGTTTCTTTCTTAAAAAAACAATTTTATCTTCTATTTTTTGTGTTCGAAATTAATTATCACAAAATCAAATGAAAAAAAATACATTTTTTGTATGGTAGAATTAAATATTGTGGGAAATGGCACTTGTTTATAAGAAAAAAAAATAGAAAGGGAGGAAACAACAGTAAAAGGAAATGAGCATTTGTATTGGTTGGATGCCTTATAGTATCGGGTTGCTAATGGTGTAAGTCAAGCTTGCGGATGTAAAAACGCATACAGGGATAATTGAAGGGATGGCAACGACTCTCCATTATACTTCGTTCTTCTTAATTGCTCGCTAAATTATTTTCTCCTTTCAACATTAAAGCGGAAGGAAATTTATGCCTTCTAAATAGTATACCAGGGAAACCTTTTTGGCAGGTCCATTACAATTTTTTTTTTTTTAAGCCGAGAAAGCTCTTCACCGCATTTTTTTCTCTTAACTTAAATTAATTTTTTCAAAATTGAGAATAAATTAAAATAAAAAAATTTTTTTAGAATAAAATCTTTTTTTGGAAGTATAAAATAAATGAAAGAGAATTTTAATTTTTTAATTAAAAATTAAAGAAATTTTTGTGAAAAAAAATAGAAAGAATTTCTTAAGATTCAAAGGTCTAAGTATAAATAAAGTGAGGAGCGGTCTTGTGCAGGGTCAAGTTCTCTCTGTGCCCTCGTTAGAATCACGAACGAAACCAAAAGGGGATTCCCCTGGCACAAGGATGGCTATACTATATACGGTATACGCGTTTGGCTCTCCAATTACTCGTCGCGATTTTCACGGAACTTGTTGAGTTCCTGGGTTCAAGTTCCAATATTCCCTTAGAACTCGAACCCTTCCACGTGCAAGCGTAAAATAATTGCTTCGCTCGAATGCACAACTCACAGTTGTTTGCTAATTTCTTCGGTTTAACGATGTTTACATTAACGGCGCCATATTCAGTTTGTTCTTTTTTTTTTTTTACAAACAATATAATCGATAGTCGAATTTTATTACACTTTTTTTTTATATTTAGAAACATATTTAGGTCACTTTAAGATAAAAATAATCTTTCCTCAAAAAAAAATCTAATTGCTAATTCAATATTGTGAAAAAATTGTTGTAAAAAAAGAACGAGGGCAAATGTTTCTTTTATATTTAGAAGAAAAATTGGATCAGAAGTTTTTTTTTTTTCTTTTTAATTACATCTGGTATGTTATTATTATTTTATTTTCTTTTACCTAAAATGCATCAGTGACTTTGATCAAGCACCCTCGTTTGTACGATTCGATAATAATCAATCGGACGTTCTTGCTATTCGAAGTTACTGAATTCGAAATAATTGCCTGGCACCCCTGGCTCGTCCCGCTTCAAGTGCCATCGACTGGTGAGGCGTGACTGTCGCGCAGGCACCACCCGATTCACACTCACGTCACAACATTTTCTTATGACTATTATGCGAATGACTTAAATTGTATTCGAATGTCAAAAAAATAACTACACAAAAATAGCTCAGTGAAGGAAATTTCAAAAAAAAAATTATTGCTATTTGTAATTGGAGATTTTTATTTTTCCTAACAATAAATAAATTTATGTATGAATAAATTATTTAATACATATCTAAATTATCTAAAGAATTATGGAATATAATGAATTATTTTGAAATATCCTAAATTTTTTTAAATATCCTGAAGTATTTTGAATTATTCCAAGTACTGCGAAACATCTGAAGAATCATAAATTATCTAAAGTATTCTGGAATATCCTGAAGCACCTAAAAGTACTCTGAAATATCCTAAATTATTTTGAAGTATCCTGAAGTATTTTGAATTATCCGAAGTATCGTGGAATATCCTGAAGCACCTAAAAGTACTCTGAAATATCCTAAATTATTTTGAAGTATCCTGAAGTATTTTGAATTATCCGAAGTATCGTGGAATATCCTGAAGCACCTAAAAGTACTCTGAAATATCCTAAATTATTTTGAAGTATCCTGAAGTATTTTGAATTATCCGAAGTATCGTAGAATATCCTGAAGCACCTAAAAGTACTCTGAAATATCCTAAATTATTTTGAAGTATCCTAAAGTATTTTGAATTATCCGAAGTATCGTGGAATAACCTGAAGCACCTAAAAGTACTCTAAAATATCCTAAATTATTTTGAAGTATCCTGAAGTATTTTGAATTATCCGAAGTATCGTGAAATATCCTGATGTACCTTCAAGTACATTAAAATATCCTAATCATTTTAAAGTATCCTGAAGTATTTTGAATTATCCGAAGTATCGTGGAATATCCTGATGTACCTTCAAGTACTTTAAAATATCCTAATCATTTTGAAGTATCCTGAAGTATTTTGTATTATTTTAAGTATCCGGAATTATCTTAAGTATGAAAAAACATCTGAAGTATCCAAAATTATTTGAAGTATATTGATTTATTTAAAATATCCTGAAGTATTTTGGATTATTTAAAGTATTCTGATTTATCTGAAGTATCCTAAATTATTTGAGGTAACCTGAATTATTTTAAGTATACTGAATTGCCCGAAGTATCCTAGAATATCCTGATGTACCTTCAAGTACTTTAAAATATCCTAATCATTTTGAAGTATCCTGAAGTATTTTGTATTATTTTAGGTATCCGGAATTATCTCAAGTATAAAGAAACATCTGAAGTATCCAAAATTATTTGAAGTATTTTGAATTATTTAAAGTACCCTGAATTATTTAAAATGTCTTGAAGTATATTGGATTATTTGAAGTATCCTGAATTATTTGAAGTACTGAATTACCCGAAGTATCGTGGAATATCCTGATGTACCTTTAAGTACTTTAAAATATCCTAATCATTTTGAAGTATCCTGAAGTATTTTGTATTATTTTAAGTATCCGGAATTATCTTAAGTATGAAGAAACATCTGAAGTATCCAAAATTATTTTAAGTATTTTTAATTATTGAAAATATCCTGAAGTATTTTAGATTATTTAAAGTATCCGGAATTATTTTAAGTATAAAGAAACATCTAAAGTATCCAAAATTATTTGAAGTATTTTGAATTATTTAAAATATCCTGAAGTATTTTGGATTATTTGAAGTATGCTGAATTATTTGAAGTATACTGAATTACCCGAAGTATCGTGGAATATCCTGATGTACCTTCCAGTACTTTAAAATATCCTAATCATTTTGAAGTATCCTGAAGTACTTTGTATTATTTTAAATATCCGGAATTATCTTAAGTATGAAGAAACATCTGAAGTATCCAAAATTATTTAAAGTATTTTGAATTATTTAAAGTACCCTGAATTATTTAAAATATCCTGAAGTATTTTGGATTATTTGAAGTATTCTGAATTATCTGAAGTATCCTAAATTATTTGAAGTATCCTGAATTATTTGAAGTATACTGAATTATTTGAAGTATACTGAATTACCTGAAGTATCGTGGAATATCCTGTAGTACCTTTAAGTACTCTAAAATATTAAAATTTTTTTGAAGCATCTTGAAGTACTGCGAATTATTAAAAGTAACCAGAATTATCTGGACTATTCTGTATTATTTGAGGTATCCTTAATTTTTTAAGTATCTTGAAGAATTCTGAATTATCTGAAGTACTGGAAATTATCTAAAGTATCCAGAATTTTCAGAAGTATCAAGAATTATCTGAAGTATCATGGAATATCCTCAAGTACCTTGAAGTACTCTGATATATTCTTAATTTTTTTGAAGTATCTTGAAGTGCAGAATTCTCTGAAGTATCCTGAATTATCTAAAGTATACAGTATTATCTGAAGTATACAAAATTATCTTATCCTGAATTATCTGAAGTGTGGAATATTCTGACTCTGAAGTATTAAATTTTTTTTATGTATCCTGAAGTACTACGAATTATTTAAAGTATCCAGAATTTTCAGAAGTATCAAGAATTATTTGAACTATTCTGAATTATCCGAAGTATCCTAAATTATCCGAATTATTATATAGTCCATTAAATATTTTCAAATAGTGAAGCAGGTGTGCACTAAAAGTTTTGAATTGTTCTACCCCTCAGCCCAGTACATTTTTATTTGTTATACCTAAAAAAATGTTTTCCAAACGCATCTGTTACAATGTTTTTCCAATTTTGATCCATCTCTATTAAAACATTTCTTTTCCTCATTGTGTTTATTTTTCACCCCTTGCAAAATTCCTTCATTCTACATTGGATAAATATTGTAAGAAGGAGAAGAAGAAGAAGAAGAAGCAAAAGGATAAAGAGAGAAAGTTGGATCTTAATGTTTGCTTTACTGGTCCTGGTTGGGCAATACATACATTGAGGAATAAAGGGTAGAAATGTGGGGATGTTCTGGCACTGGCAGGGCCACAAAGATGGGTCGGGGTGTTACTAATTGGAGGGGTGACGAGGGGAAACCTTGTTATCTCTTAATTGCTACAACCCTCCACACTGTTTTGCATCGATAAGGAGAGAGAGTGTCAGTGTTACAGTCCTTTGTCCCTCTCATTGCATCGTTGGTCGTTTGTTGCGACCTTTACAACCGTCACGTCCGCTCATTCCTCTTCCCACAATAAAAAAAAATTCTCTCAATGTCGCAATTTTTCTTTTTCTTATTATCATTATTATTATTTATTTTGTCAAATGTCAACATTTTGATGATTTAACCAATCTTATATATTGCTAAAAACTTTCATAATATTTTTGACATATAGAAATAAGTTTTGCAATTTCTTCTTTTTCATATTTAATTTTTTATTTTTATTATCAATTTTTTTTTCATAAAGAAGTATTCAATTACATACAATGTAAAATGATTGTTATTGTTCACCTAATGGATAATTATAGACGAAGGCGTTAGAAATAAAGAATAATGAAAGAACATTGGTTTTTTTGAAGGTCAGAAGAAATTAGAAGGTTGCAAATAAGAAGATGGAATATGAACGATTGTTAGTGACTAAATTATACTATGTTATTTTCAATTTATTGATTTTAATGGTACAAAATTTGTATTCATTTTTTTTATTCTGAACATATATGAAAGAAATTTAAATGTCTAGGGTCCTTTGTTTATAAAAAAAAAAATTGTCTTTTCAGATTAAATAATTACAGTCGGGAATTACATGGTTTCAAAGATGGTTGTTATCAGTATGAAAAAAAGGGAAAAGAAGTTTTATTACTTCAGATTGCAGTCGCGGTAATAACTTATACCGAGGACAAATTACTGTTGTCTTCTACTGTATTATTCTTATAAAACTTTCCAATCTAATGGAAAAGATGTACCTCTTTCATTATATAAAGAAATAATTTTTATCAAGAACCAATTTCAACAAATTGCATTAAAATTAAAAAATACCTGTAATTGTCACGATTAGATAACAAAAAACTTGGCAGAAAATGGAGAACAAAAAAATGTTACAACTTTTAGCAATACAAAATCCTTAATCAACATTTATAACTTTTGATAAATTTACATTTATTTATTGTAAGAAATTTTTTTTTCTGTTTGCCTGGAGAGAAAAAAAAAGAAGACAGCCTTTGATTTTTCTTATCCCCATAATCGGCTTTGCTCGTTCATAATTTGTACTAGTCCCCAGGGGACATTCAGTTTGGAGACTTTAATAAACTGACTGTCTGAAGGAACTTAAGGCACGAGGGAAATGCTGAAACTTACTTCAGCAAGGAAAACACGTTATTTCAGAAAAGAGCCTCGTAAACCTCATTTGAACTAAAGTTGTCGTTTCTCAAAAACCTTTAAACGAGACTTTCTCCTCGTAATTGGCGCCCAATTCTACGTTTAAATGAACGTCGAGGAAAAGAAAAAAGCATATTTCCATCCTCTATTTCATTTACAAAATTAGTTTTCAGCCGGCTAGGTGAAATAAATTAATTTTCAAAAGGCGTTGAAATTTATTTTTCTCGAATGCTAAATTATTTATCCATTTTATGCTCTATAGAAAAAAATTTCATCTAGAACATCGAAAGATTTCACTAGAATAGAAAATGATTTAACTGAAACAATTAAAACTTTTTCTATTCTATATTCTTTCGCTGTTCCAGGTAAATCTTTTTATACTTGATAAATTATACACGAGATACTATTACACCATAAATTATAATGAGACTAACTATTTTGACACGTGATAAATTTTTTCTCTAAAAAAAAAAAAAATTGACAGGATAATACTTCGGGGAGGAGCAATCTGAATTTGTCATTTGTCAACAGAGAATGACAAATTAGTCAGACATATATGCAATGATAATAATCATGAAATCTTGATAAGCAGGGGGATAAAATGAAGTAGTACAAAATTGGGAAAATGCAAATTTTCTAGAATATAACCAGGCTTCAGAAGCTGATTTTGGAAACCGATCTAGATATCTGCCCGGTAAGCCCCTGAAAATCGGGGGTTATTTGTGTGTATGTGTGTGTGTGGGTCGTTAGTATAGACTTGCTGCATTGCATAACAATGAGGCATTGGGGTGGAAATGGAATATCTCCTGGGAATCCGGACACCCGTTATACCGAAGGTCGTACACTCTTGCCAAAGAATGAGGAAGAAAATGACGGGGCTCTCTCTCTCTCTCTCTCTCTCTCTCTCTTTCTCTTTCCACACTTCCAGTCAGAGAACTGACTCATGGTGTATTGGATAATCGAACTCGTTACGATTCTTTCCCCGGATTCATTTCGTGACACGAATCGAAAATGTATTTATTTATTTCGACTGTGGAAAAAAAAGAGTTATACCCCAAATATTTCTATGAGTCATATACTTCTTTGACTTTTGATTATAATGAAAAAGAAAACTCTGCAAATATAATAATTTTTGATAACCTCTATAAAAAAATGAGTAGTTTTTGAAAAAGAGCAAAACCAAATATTAACGGTTAAAAATGATTTTTACTAACAAATTTTGTTTGGTCGCTACAACAATTTGTTGTAGTAAAAATTCCTTAGTAACACGCAACAAATTTTACCCTAATTGTGGGTTAAATCTTATGGGTTTTAGCATTGGAGAAAATTACCCGCAACAAAAATAACACAAACTTTTTTCTGTGAATACTAGTTTGAATAAAAAATTTGGTAATACAAAATTGGTATAACAATAAAATTTTGTTGTAACAACTAAAAATTTGTTGTAATAATAAATATATTGTTAGTGCAACAATACAGATTTGTTGTAGCAACCAAACAAAATTTATTAGTTCCAGGTTTAGTAAATACAATTTGTTGTAGTAATATACTGTTAGTGCAACAATACAGATTTGTTGTAGCAACAAAATAAAATTTTAGTTCCAAGTTTAGTAAGTACAATTTATTTTTCTCCGTATTGTATTTGAGAGGTCCAAAAATTATTCGATTGCTTCGGAGGAACAATTACTTAAATATTCTAATTGTCAGAAATTTAGCACCTCCAAAAAGAAACTAAAAAGCAAACCGAAAACCAATCAAATTTGAAAAAATACAAAAAAAAAATTCTACAGCCCTTTAAATACTAATGGGATTGATCGGACAAGACCATTAAAATTATTGAAATATTCCAAGTGATGATTAGAGTATTTGCAGAAGGGTGGAAGTTTTTTTTTTTTTGAAGGCACGAGCGAGCCGTATAAAAGTAAAGTACACTTGACAACTGTGTGGGTGTGTGTTGGCCCTTACGCGGTTCTGTCGATTGTAAAGTAAAGAATCAATCGAGAAACGAAGCGTGTCTGGTCGAAGGGAAGGAAGAACTCAACCCAGAGCTTGTGTACGGTTGGTTGATCCAAATCCCCTTTACAGGCCTAACAAGACCAACTTTGCGACCCGAACACTGACACGCAACGACCCCTCGTTTTCGTCATTGAGCGTGAATGTTTCCGGTAAGGTGCTCTGGATACTTGGCTAAAATGAACTCTCCATATATTCCTAAACTACCTTTAAACTTGTAAATTTTACAAATTGCCCTCTGGTCAACTTTAGGTCATTCTCTCCCTCATATTCCCTGCGTATATAGTTTACAGTTCATTCTCATTCAAAAATTTCCTTTTTTTGAAACCCCTCACAAAATCAATTTTACTTCTTTTCTTCTCTTCAATTTTATTAAGGGGTGGAGACTATTTTTTTAAAATTAAAATCCGTTATCTATTTTGAAAACCACGCCTAAGGTCAATGAACCCTGCAAGGTAAAACAAAAATGTTACTTTCTGTTCTAGCTATATAGTCACATATAGCAGAAAAAATCTAATTTTAAATTATACTTATTTTGGAAAGTTAATTAAAAATTTTTTTTATGTCGCAATTTTTTCAATATGAAGACAGTAAAATCTACAAGGATATAGTGTATAACGTAAGTGTCCTTCGTTGGACATAATTTCATTTACAATTATTATTTTCATTTCCTATTTTTAAGTTATTTCAAGGCTAATAAAATTGAAAAATTTCTCTATTACACGCAAGTGCGAAAATAATAGAGTAATTACAGTATATTAAATTATATCAATATAGTATATAATTTTCGAGAAGAACATCAAGATCCTATTGCAATGTATAAAAGAATTATTTCAAGAACAAAAGAAAAATTTCGAGGAAATACGTAAATAATAATAATAGAGAAAATAATTTATTTAAATAGTTGTTGCAAAAATTAATATACATCAATCGAAAATAAACATTTAATTCTAGTTTAAAAATTAATAAAATTGAAGAACTAAAACTAAAATCTTGCAAAAAAAAAATTAAATTTAAGAATTTAAATTACAAATTTTTTAAGAAAATTATTTACAAAAATAATAAACGACTATCAATTATTTACAGAGAGACGAGCCTCTACCGAGTCCCCCAGTGCCAAATCTGGAGTCTACTTTGCAAAAGTTTTTGGCCCAGGTTGAAGCTGTAGCTCCAAATCAATTGGAGAAGACTCGATCACTGGTCAAACAATTTTTAGCTGGACCTGGGCCAAAACTACAAATGCGACTCCTAGAACGTCGGCAACTTATGACCAACTGGGTAAGTTATGAATTTATTTCTTATTTATTTATTTATTGAAATGTGTTTAAAAATGTAAAACATAATTTGTAGCACCAATGAAATAAATTTATCTACTAAAATGTGTTTTACAAAAAAATTGCACTATTTAAAATGTACATTGTAAATTTTACGAAATAGAATGCAATATTTACACAGAAAATTAAAAGGCATTAAAATAAGCTGCAACGCTTATTATTTTAATCCAATTTTGCTTATTTTAATCCATCTTGGTATTAAAATAAGCAAAATTGGATTAAAATAAAAAGCGTTGCAGCTTATTTTAATACCTTTTAATTTTCTGTGTACAATTGGTATGGTAAATATTACAAAACTTTTGTAAATTTTACAATATAGATTGTAAACATATACATTTTTGTCAAACACATTTATGGATGAAAGATCCATTATATATAAAAAGAAATTTCCTACCCACATAGCACAACTTCTTGCTGTAAGGTTACTGTAAGGATATCTATAGGGTTTGTAAGGTTACCGTGTAAGCCTACAGTAAACTTGAGGTTAACTTAAAACTTCCGCCTTACAGTAAGCTTACACAGTAAAGCTAAGGTAAGCTTACACAGGAAGGTCGTGGTAAGTTTACATGGTAAGGTTGTGGTAAGCTTACACGGTAAGGTTGTTGTAAGCTTTTCGTAAGGTTACTGTAAGGTTGCTGTAAGGTTACTGTGAACATAAAGTAATATGAAAATATATTAAAAATAATTACATTACAATATATATTATATTATAAATTTTTTTTTTATAAAAAATTATATATTTGGTAAAGTACTTCATGAACCCCAATAGGGTTTGTTAAATAAAATTTACTGCGCAGCCGTATGTGCCATAGAAAACTACTGCGCATAAATATTAATAAAATTTATTTATTAACAACATTCTATGTTTACAGCAACCTTACAGTAATCTTAAAAGAAGCTTACAGAAACCTTACCGTGTAAGCTTACCACAACCTTACCGCGTAAACTTCTCACGACCTTACTGTGTAAGCTTACCTTAGCATTACTGTGTAAACTTACCTTAGCTTTACTGTGTAAGCTTACTGTAAGGCGGAAGTTTTAAGTTAACCTCAAGTTTACTGTAGGCTTACACAGTAACCTCACAGCAAGAAGCCGTCCTATGTGGGTACATGATATAATTGAATTAGATTATAATATTAATTTATAATATTATATACAAATATTATATAATATTGCATATATAAACAAATAAATAACAGAATACAAAAATAAATCTCTCTGAATTTTTTTTTCAACGTCATCATCAATTGTTATTTAGAAAATTGTATAAACAGAATTGTTTGTCCTTTTATTTGATAGAATTCCCGTTTCAATGTATCAATTCATTGTCAAAAATAGCGTTGTTTTTTTGGAATGACGTCGAATCTAAATACTGAATCGAACACGAAACAATAATTGCAAAAAGGGTCAGATTTCGCGCTTGGCTTGAATGCATATATATATATACGTTTATCACACTCGAGAGCTAAAAATGTCTAACGGGAAAATAAATCGGAAAAACTTTTGACACTTTTTCCAATTCGAAATTTCCATATACGTCAGGAAAGTTAACGAAAAACCAAAATTACTCCTCTTACACATTTAAATATATGGAATCGTTATCAGTAATCCGAATTGTATATAAATCAAGATAATTCCTTCGAGTTTTATGCAAATTTATACCAGGTGGAAATTTACTATCAAAAAAAGAAGACTTAAAAAGAAGCAGAAATATAACAATATTGCGAAAGATGTTAATAATTTGTTTATATTTTTCCAAAAAGATTAAGATTTCAAAAAGGATAAATTTTGATAATTAAAAGTAAATATTTAAAAAAAGGAAATTTTATAATTACTCTCTGTAATAAATTTCCGATATTCAGTAGTAAAAGTAAGATTTAGTCTGACGTATCTCAATTTCTAAGAATTGGAAATTTGATATTATTTCAGTAGTAACGGAACTTTTTAGTCAGACTTAATATCTACGGTTTCCGACATGTTTCATATAAGTTCCTTCAGTAGTAATAGACACATTTGGTCAGACTGTCTGACACGAATGAAGTATAATTTATTATAGGCGATAATTATTATAATAATTCTTGTCACCAAAAAAACGAGTTTCCAAAATGTAAAATTATACAAAAATCTTCTCGTCCACATTTTTTAAATACCAAAAATGCCTAAAAAATTGATTTAAAATATAAATCACAAAAATAGAAAAACATTCTCGATTTAGAAGAAAATAAATCTATAATGATTGGAAAGAGGGGCGAAAGAAACAAACATCGAGAGGAAGATAGAGATAAGTAGCTTTCGACATTAAATATTCAGGCGTTAAAAAATGATGATTCAAAGCCTAGGCAAAAAAAAAGAGGAAGATGCAGAGTAGCTATATATGTATATGAGATCTTTCTGGCTAAGTGGCACAACACCATTTTCGTTTCAACCCCCCGATGCCTCGGGAGACTTTACCTCCGGTATAGACAGTGAACGTTGTACCCATCTCTCGACGGCGTTTCGGTCTCCGTGACTTTTGAAATCCCCTGTCTCTCGATCCCATGGGATACTTTCTATGCGTATTGCCAGCCAACCTTTTTGCCTCATGCCTACCATAAGCCGCTATACTCCCCTCCCAACCCCATCTACACATTTGGCCAGACCCCATCTCTCGTACATAAATAAATAAATAAATGGATTTACGAGACCCAACGCACACGGTCTCGATTTTCCCCGTGACGTTTCAATGCGAGGGACGAATCACCTCGCTTAGAACAATACAAAATATTATTCTTGTGAGGGAGTAGAACAATGAATAGCATGTGTATATATATGTTATATATAGGTGTTGACATAAAACGAGTTTTAATTTTTTTATTGTTTCCCGCGTGTATCAACAATTCAAATATTCTGCACTCTAAATTTTAATCAGTAAAATTCTACTGACAACATGCAAAAAAATCTTAACCTGGAACAGCGATATACTTCTCTAGAATGACAAAAATTTTCGCTGATTTAGTGAAACTTATCGTTGTTCTAAGAGAAGATTTTTTTACGTGAATATTTAATCAATAATCAATTCTCACCCAGTCGAAAATCCTACGCTATGTTAAGCTGAACAAAAAGTTGTTTTGAAGTATTGAGATAACCATTAGAGAATTGTGAGACAGTAGATAACTAGCTATAGAAAACTTTCAGGAAGCCTGTTATGGCCGATTTTTCGCTTCCACGGAAAGCTTGAAAATAACGAATTTTGTACGTTTTAAACAAAGCATTCAAGTAGCTTTGAGAGAGTTATCAAAGAGTTGCAGGATTTTGCATATATAAAAAGAAAGCGTTCAGGTGGCGAAAATTAAATAAAGCGTCATGGATGTTTCAGGAAACAGCGGAAAAATGACAATGATCAAAAATTAAATTTAACCTTTCTTTCCATCTTTATTTATCTCGTAAAAATATTATGTATTAGATTATTATATTTAAATATTGAAGAATTAAAGAAAAATTATTTACGTCAGACTCGGTATGTCCACAGTCTTTTTAAAAGGGTACAATTGTTTTATAAAATATCTATTAGTGATATTAAATACTTTTTTTAAAATTAATTATTATCTTCTTTCAATTAAAAGTTAGTTGTCAATTAATTTTCTATAGTGAAATTACACAATTAATATTGATTAATAATTTAATGTAAATTTGTCAATTTTTAACTTTTAGTACATTGTTGTCAACCAAAATTTGTAAATAAAAATACGCTGTTAAATTCATATTCATAAATTATGAAATTCTAAAAGAATAAAGAATATATTATTTATAAAAAATATTCATAAATATCAAGTATAAAAATAATAATCTTTTTTTTTTAAATATTAAATATTTTGTCTTTTTTTTAAGAAATTGTATTCATTATTCAATATAAAAGGTTTTCACCGTGTTCGTATTCCTAACCCCAAATTTTGCTCAAGTTATATATAATTTTTTTCGTATACAATTTAAGTGTTTAAAAATAAACTTTTTCTTTGAAAAATAATTTTTATATAATATATAAAGAATAATTATTAATTGTATAAAACGGATTTACAAATTACTATAGAATTTTTATGATTTTTCGATTTAGTTTAATTTAATGAAATTATTCTAGTTTTCAGGAAGTGTAAAAAAGGTAATTAAATTACATATTAATTTGCAACTTGTGAAAAGCAAATAGAATTGCTTTCTTACACATTAAACCAGGCATTAGGAAAGCATTCACCAAGCAAACTGGTAGACCTTTTACTAGAAGCTGTCCACAGATATTCAACAAGCTGTAGAAAAAGCTTCCCGTTAAGAAATCAGAAAGCAAATATCACAGAATTTTAGGTCTAATGTATAAATAGTTGCCATGAAGCTTTTGAAACCTTCATAACAGTTACCTGAAGGCCATGTGAACCCTTCAGGGAAACTTACGATTTTCGACTGGGCAGTGTATTAATTACACTTGTTTCTTGAAGATATCAAGTGAAACACGAATTGATATCAAGTGGATATCGAATTGATAGAAAATTGATACCAATATTTGGATCAAATTATATTTCGATACAAATATTTGTATCAATTCATTGCGATTTGATACCTTCAAATTAATATAGTTAATTAATTAGTATATATGTAATTTCTTTTTTTGCTTAGAAATTTGAAAATATGGCATTAGAAAGAAACGATATAAATGTTTTGAAAATATTAAATTAACCCTTAAAAAAAATGTAGAGTATATTATACAATAATATTAATTTAAATAATTATTTTAATGAATATATTTATTTTTCTTGATATTTTTTATTTTCTCCAAATTATATAATAAAATTTGGTAAAATGTTATTGAAAAACCACCTATTTTCCTTTTCCTTTGTTTTTGTTGGCAGCTTTCCAACTATTAGCATAACCATCCATACTAACTAAAGAATAAAAATTTTCATAAACTTTTTATAAATA